ATCGAGGATCGAGTCGTGCACCTTGAGTTCGTATGTCGAGTACCCGTCTCGCGGCTTGTTCTTGAGCTTGGCTAACCTCTGCACGGCCGCCGCGATGGCGTCGGCTGCCTTGCTCAGTTCCTGATCCATGATGTCGCCGAGGTCGCCCTTGCCCGCCAGTTTGCCTGCGCCGGGCGCAAACGTCTCGACAAACTTGTTGAGCCTTTGGAGGTTCATCTGCACATCATTGTTGCTGTTGATGACAACGTCCGTCTTCTGAATCGGGTCCATGCCCTCGAGACGGAAGCTCTGGAGACCGCGGAAGAACTTGACGGCGGCTTGCGCCGACTGTCGGGTGCCATTGAGGAGCGTGTCGCTGCTCTTCTCGTCCGTCGCGAGGCGCGTGAGGCCCTTGGAGTTGCTGCACACATCGGCAATGGCACCAGCGAAGATGTTGATTGCTTTGATAAGCTCGGCGTGCGTACTGTTTGGCCCATCGGCAATAAAGTTGTTAAAGGCAGTCGCGAACTCCATGGCGTTCGAGGACGCCTTCTCGATCTGCGACAGCACGTAGGAAGGCGAGGCGTTCTGGTTGCCTGCCTGCATTGTAGAATCCAGCTCATAGAGCGCATCATCCACGCGCTGAACACCAGACTGCAGCACCGAGTCGATGATGTCGTTAATCTTGTCAAGATTGGCCATGATGAGCGCATCAATCTGGCCGTCCAGGGCGTGGTCCGTCTCGCCCTGATTCTGTCGCAGCTCATTGAGCTCGATGAGGGTTTGGTCCATGCCCGCCTTGTAAACCTCGAGCTCCTCCTCCTTGTCGCGGAGAAGCTGCTCAATGTCAGTGTTGCCGTTGGCGACCTTGGAGTGCGCGTCTTCCAGAGCGCGAGACTTGATGCGTAGCGCCTCCTCGAGATCGGCCATCTCGCGGTTGTACTTGGACAGCATCGTGGACAGCTCGTTGCCCTTGCTCCTCTCCAGGTTATCCGCTTTGTCAAGGGCCATGCGGAGTTCGCGCTTCAGCTTCTCAACCTCGTCCTTGCTGCTGCCCGACGCGCGGTCCTTGTCGTGAAGGGCACGGTCTCGTTCCCTGATCATGTCGGCAAGCTCTAGGTTCTTCGTCTTGATCTCGCGCTCGAGCTTCTCGCGTCTCTCGATCGCCTCGGAAGCCGAGGCTGCCTTGAGCTGCACCGTCTTGAACTTGTTGAGGAGGTCGAGGTGCTCGGTGCGAAGCTGGGAGTACAGCTTGGCGAGCGCCTCGTACTTTGTCCGCCAGGTGTTGACCTGCTCCTGCAGGGCTGCGATCTGGTCATCGCGACTCGACATTTGCTGCCCGTAGTTGCCCTGGATCTGGGCCAGCTCGTTCTCCAGAGCCTTCACCCGCTGATCGTATTGCTGCAGCATCAGCTGGTCCTGCTCGTACTGCGACCGTGCCCGGAAGTTCTCCTGCTCGAGCTCGGCCAGCCTTCCCTGGGTCTGGTACTGCATCTGCTGCTGCATCAGCGCCTCTTGCTCGCGCTTCTGCTGCTCCATGAGCTGTCGCTGCTGTTCCTCAAAGTCCCTCTGGGCCTGCAGCGCAGCTTGCTGCTGAGCCATTTGCTGTGCGTTCTGCCTCTCCTCGAGCACTCGCTGTTGCTCCTCGTACTCTCGGTTCTGGCGGTCGAGTTCGCTCTGCCAGAACTCGTTCATGTCGTCTGGCTCTTGCGACTTGGGCTCGGGTACGGGCGTGGGGTTCCGTTCAATCTCCTGCTTGGGTCGTGCTGGCAGGGCAGGAGCCTCGTCATCCTCGGCGCGTAGGTTCGGGGCGTCTTGCGGGAGTTTCGGAATCGTGATCAAGCTTGTGAGGTAGCGAAGGTTGGAGCATTCGTAGTAGAACTTGGTGAGACGGTAGTGCTGCGCCTCGTATCTGCTGCGCAGGGGTTCGAGGGCTTCGTCATCGCCAGTCGTAGAGTGCATGGCGCGCAGCATGCTGGTGATGAACTTGTAGATTCCGTAGCTCTCCTGCACCAAGGGCACTAGGGCAGAGATGCGGCATTCGTTGTTTCCTGCATGCCGGAAGTGGGAGAAGATGAGCTTCTGGAACTGTTCAATCTTGTCCTGCAGGGTCATGAGGTCGGTGATGGTCTCGTAGCCCTCGTTCGGATCGTTGATCGCCCTCAAGCTGAGATATTCCTCGTACTCGAACGTTCCGTTGAACTCGGGATGCTGCTGATGGAAAGACAGCTTCGCCAAAAGGTAGTAGACGTACTCCCTGATGAGCGGGGCGTAGCCCCTGACACCTTCTCCGGCCAAGCCGCGGCCCAACCCATCGACCCAGCTCTTTTGCGACATGGCCTCCCGAAGTGTTGAGGGGTGGCCCTCTTGCAGGACCTTGTGGACGGTAATCAGCGCCTTGAAGGTTTGTACCTCGTCGGCGAGGAGGGGCTGGCTGTTAGGGACATCTGGTCAGCACTGCGCAATGCCTTGTCTCGTGCTAGGAGAGGGGGGGAAGCGAGACGTACACCTTCATGCCCGACCAAAACGCCTGGGAAGACCGATGGTCCCATGTGTATACAATGCAGGCACGGACATGCTTGCGCTTTGGAGCTGTCTCGTCGGCACTGGTAGCTTTCTTGATACTAACAGCAAGCTCCTGGTCGGTCCTGGTTCAGAGCATCAGCGGTCGTGAGACGGGAAGCGGATCGAGCGGGTTGCATACTTGGTGTGCGAAGTCTGCAGCGATGAAGACATCTTGGGCAATGGCTTCGAGTGGCGCTAGCCAAAAATCCTTATTGTCGAGAGGGGAAATGGCTGGAGACGGTATCGCAGCGCCTCGGTTACAAGACTATATGAGGCTCCGATTGCTGAGGGGCAGCCGTCGCCTTCCTCAGTTGATAGTTTCGTGACGGCAGCGTCGAAGAGGAAGCAAGCCGAATGATTCAGTGTTGCAAATTGGAAAGCAAAGCGCTGGGTAGCAGTCGTCAGCAGTGACGAATGTCAATGTGGGAGCTCCAGGAGATTCGTGGTGGACGTGGTGGCTGGGTGACGATGATGCGCAAGCTGCACGCTGCGCCAAGCCGTTCATGCGCCCAACGCCAGGCTACCGCCAATTGGAAGGTACCTAAGGTGGGTGGTGCTGGCTTCCCCCCCATATTTATGGCTTACCTAACGCCCAGCCAGGGAATGAGATGCAATTTGACAATTTTCTAACGTGGGAGGCCATTGTGCATCAAATCGTGTCAAGAAGATGTAAACTTCACAAAAATACAGGCGATGCCGCGACTGTCGCAGGGGCACAGAAGACTGTCGTCCTTGAACAAGTTGCCGGCTTTGGTTTTGGCGAAGAGAGCAAGAGCCTAATTGAACCCCCATGATGCTTCATCTGAGTGGATGGATGGTGGGGCAATGCGACGATATCGTGCCTAACAAAGAATGCTCCGGCGGTATCACTCAGCAAAAGGAAATAGTCACGGCTCTGGCAAGCGGCGGATATACTAGCGTCTAGGCTGGAGCGGCCGGACTATGGTTATCTTGCAGTGTATGGCACTTCATTGCCGGCAACATCATCAAATCTCTCACAAGGGACATACCATTGAGCTTGTCATGTGAGTACACGATCCCAACCGCCGCCGCCATCTCATTGGAAACAATGTCACAACATGCAGGCGGCTGCGGCGAATGGGTGCCAGCCAGAGCAAAGCGACACAGTGGACTGCAGGTCTGAATACCGAGATGCCATGGTTTTCATTCCCTATGGACCTTGCCGAAACAACGATGCCTTTCCATGCTGAAATTTGTCCGATTCACGTGTAACACCCCATGCACAAGAAAAGCAAGTGATATCTTCCATTCATGCCGAAGACCACTGTCCATGCCGCTGCCCGTGACTCGGATGAGGGGCGGACCCTTTTCTATGGCCGTCAAGCCCCTCGGCGACATAGCGAATACGCCTTCCCAACCATTTTCAGCACCTCCCACCAACAACACCTTAAATCGTGGTCTCGTAGGCGAGGGGAGTGACGGTCTCGGGCACGTTCTCCTTGAGGGAGATGGTGTGGGCGTCGCGGGGAGCGGCAGGAAGACGCTTGAGGAGGACGGTCTTGCCCTCAGCCTGGGCCTCCTTGCGGAGACGGGCGTTCTCCTTGACGCGGCGCAGGAAATCGTCTCGGGACCGGGAGGGGCTGATGTGCTCGACGCGGATGTTGATGCGCTTCTCGATGTAGCGGTGCTTGACCTTCTTGTAGATGATGATGCCGACGGCCGACTTGCTGACGTTGTAGACAACGCCGGTCTTGCCGTGGTAGACCTTGTGGGGCATACTGTTCCTACTGTTAGCAGCCTTCTCGAACATCCGACACCGCGACAGCTTCTGCATCGCCAGGTGCGTAGGTGGTTTGTGGAAGTCGTCTTACCCCTTCTGGACAGCACCGTTGGCCTTGATATCAACGATGTCACCGACGCTGCAAAATCCGTGTTAGAAACCTCCATTTTCTCGTGTGCCGGGTCGATTTGTCGGAGTTCAATCGTACCGGTATTGCCTGAGGTAGGTGGACAGCTTGATCATGCCCTTCTGGCGGAAGTTCCTGGAGAACGCATACTGCGCGCTTCCGTCAGCGTTTCGTTCAATCGAGAGTTGGTATTCTGAGATTGTCACATACACGCGTACCCGCGCGAAGACCCGCAGCGTGACCCATCTTGTCGGTATATTGTCGTCGGAGGGGTGGTCGTCGGTTTGGTGTTGAGGATCTTGGATCTTGAGAAGCGACGACTTGTTCAAGGCGAAAAAAATGTCGGGTGTGTGCGCCGTGCTTCGCGGGTGGACAGGCCGGTGCTGATTGGGTGTCCCGCTTGCCATAGCGGGGTGACTGCTCTTACCCTATGCTTAGGGCAATTCTTCCTCACGTGATACGAAGAATGGCCCGAGCTTCCAATGCTGGGCTCCACGCCGCACAACCAGTCTTTTTTCCAGTTCGTGAACTTTGTAGTCTGGTCGCAAATCCTCGTCAACCACGTTTGCGAAGCACCAAGTCGGCAAGATGGCTCCGTAAGTCGACGACGATACCTTGGGCTCAGAAACAACGCCTTGCTAACTTACTTTCAACAGTCTTTCCTACTCCAAGACCTCGCGTGTCCCGCGTCGCCCCTTCGAGGCCGCCCGTCTGTCAGTATCTCCCGGCCACTGAACATGAGCTTGCTTCTGTTCATGTCGTGTGAGCGCCAAACTGACTTCGATATCCCAGTGACTCCGAGCTCAAGCTCGTTGGCGAGTACGGTCTCCGCAACAAGCGTGAGGTCTGGCGTGTCCAGCTCACCCTCTCCAAGATTCGTCGTGCTGCTCGGTATGTCCTTCTTCGACTCGGGGGGAAATTTGAGGACAAAGTCTTGTCGGGGAAAGTCCAATGTCTAACACCCCTCGCAGTCAGCTCCTTACTCTTGACGAGAAGGACCCTAAGCGTCTCTTCGAGGGCAATGCGCTCATTCGCCGTCTCGTCCGTGTCGGTGTCCTCGACGAGTCCCGCATGAAGCTCGATTACGTTCTTGCCCTTAAGGTTGAGGATTTCCTTGAGCGCCGCCTCCAGACTTGCGTCTACAAGCTCGGCCTCGCCAAGTCCATCCACCACGCCCGTGTGCTCATTCGCCAGCGCCACATCCGCGTCGGCAAGCAGATCGTGAACGTCCCCTCGTTCATTGTCCGTCTCGACTCGCAGAAGCACATCGACTTTGCTCTTACCTCGGCCTTCGGTGGCGGTCGCCCTGGTCGCATTCGTCGCAAGAAGGCCAAGTCGGCTGAGAAGAACGACGATGGCGAGGAGGATGAGGACGAGGAGTAAATCTGTCGTCAATTCAATCTTCTACAGGCTTTGGGTGGTTCTTAAAAACGCGTCGGGCGGTGGAATTTCCCACCATGGACATTGGGCGGTTCATACTTCAGGCGTTAGCCAACGGATCAATGGCATGACCTTCATGAAGAAAAACTTTGTCCACGATATCACCCATAAAGTTGTCCCATCATATGCACTAGTCGCGAAAAGCTGTAAAGATGTGAAGGGTATCATGATTGTATGACTGTCGTTTCATTGTACAAGTTCGTCTTTGCCCAAGAACTTTGCCATGGGATCGTTTGCGGCTGTGCGCTTTTTTCTGTATTCCTCCATTTCAGCCTCGGAAACCCCTCCCATCATCTCCTCTGCCGTTCTCTTCTTTGCCGCACCCTCGCTCTGGGGTTTCGTCTCGAGTGGGCTTTCGGCCGGTTTCGTGGATGACACAGCTTCAAGCAAGGCCTGGCCGGTCCTCTGCCGCTCAGAGGCATCCAGAGCTGCCTTGCCCTCTTCTCCTGTGCAGTAGCTGTTCTTGACAAACGAGTGACAACATGCGTATCCCCATTGGAAGTCTGACCACCAACTACCCCAAACAGACGTGTGATTATGCATCAAGACGTCTTCCGGGTATTTTGACTTGGCAACGGCCTTCGGTGCACCCTTGATAAGACCGCTTTCGTCGTATTCGACATATCGCTCTGATTCGGTGACCATGTTCTTGACTTCATCCGGCATCTTGTACTGCGAGTCATCGCCGTACATTTCGAGGAGCTTCTTTTCCTTCTCGATACGTTTCTTCTCAGCCTCTTCGAGCTGCTTCTTCCGGTAGAACTGACCGGCGGTAGGGTTTGCCTGAAGGTGCTGGCTCGTGTCGCCTGTCTTCTCTTGCGCCTCCCACGCGTAGTTCTGGGCTTTTTCGAATTCGCCTGCATCGCCTGATGCGCGCATGAAGCCCTCTTCGGCAAACATGTCGGCCGCCTTATCGTTCGTGGCGCCGCCATCGATGAGCGCTCTCGTCTTCGGGTCGTACTTGGCGGAATCCAAATCGAGATTCAGGAGGTATTTGGCGGTGTCTTCACGTAACCTGAGCTGCCGTGTCGCGGTGCTCTGGTGCTTGCTCATGTCGTTTTCCTCAGCATACTTGTCGCCGTCGTTCGCGCCCTCGTCCTCTTCATCATCTCTGGCCGGCAACGCCTTCTTGCGCAGCTCTTCCATCTGGTTGAAGTCTTCCACAACACTGCGGTATTCCTTGGAGTCATATCCGTTCCACCGGTCGCGCTTCGCATCCCAGCCTAGCTTGACATCTTGAATCACTTCGTCCGCCTGGATGTCGCGCCCCGTCCACTTCGCGCCCTTGGCCCTGGGCCGACTAAGGCAGTCTTTGGCCTTATGCGTCATGGCGCCACAGTTTTCGCAGGCACCCTTTCGGTATTTGGTGGCGGCCGGGCCAGCCTTCCTGCCGCGATCATACCACTGTGACTGTTCATTCTTTTTCTGCAGACGCTGATGCTCGAGGTAGTCGTTTTGTTCGTCGCCTTCTTCGCCGGCATAGAAGGGCCTTTTACTGATGAAGGAGGGAATGTAGATGTTCTCTTCTTTCGAGGCGGCGCCGGCGCCAGATCCCGTCTTGGAGTCCGGGCGTCGTGGTGGCGGGGGTGGCATTGCGGCGGCAGTAAACGACACACTGACGATACTAGGCTGTTCTCGTTGTCACCTGGGCCTTTGCGCTTCAGCACTTCGAAGTGTTTGCAGCAAGCGCGTCTCCCATTGATGGCAACAAGGATCAAAAAACGGCTGGAGGTTCGAGTCAACGATTAGATAACACCAAGCATCCTGAATGGGGAAGATTCCTTACCTAATACTGAAACCACGTGATCGCGCGACTAAGTCTTGTCACGTTGGAGCAGGCAGGCAGTCATCTCACTCTGGAGTCGCGTCACGTCCCTCCTACAATTAGGTCTCACCCTGGCTTCCCCCACAATGGTGTCGCTCAATAGAGCAATCCAACGTCCTCCATGATCTGAACATCCTCGTCATGAACCTCTTTCGGGTCAGGTTGAACTGCTTGGACCATTATCAAGGCACGTCGACGCGGTTTGATCCCCAACTGCGGAACGATGTTCACCCCTCTCAAGCCGCGAAGGGGCCAAAAGTCCCTATTGTAAGGGCTTTTGGGTCCACCGAGACCGGCCAGAAAGTATGCGCGCATATTCATGGAGCGTTTCCCTACATGTATGTCGAGTACAGCGGCGGCCTGGAACAAGACGAAGGTGAGGACAGCCTAGCACACTGATTCGGTGTCGCTAATCAAAATAGTTGGCGCATACATCTATCGATTACATCTTTCCATTGATCACGCGCTGGCAGTCAGTTATCGCCGTGATCAGTATTCGGGGAATGCCAAGTTTGTAGCACGAATCACTCTCGTCAAAGGGATCCCGTTTTATGGGTTCCATGTCGGTTACAAGTTCTTCCTCAAGATCTATATGTTCAACCCCATTGTCATGACACGCCTGGCAGATCTTTTCCAACAGGGCGTCATCATGAAGCGGAAATTTCAACCCTATGAGGCCCATCTCCAGTACTTGTTGCAATTCATGACCGACTTCAATCTCTACGGGTGTGGGTTTCTCGATGCTTCAACTGTTCACTTCAGAGCGCCCGTACCGCGTTATACCGAGGAGGGGAACTCGCTACACTTGTGGCATGACCAATCAATCCCGCCAGGGAGCATCCTGGACGACTTCTACCTCCCGAGGGTGAGTCGTTGCGCAATTGAAGTCGACATTTGCGTTCAGGATATCACCAATCGCAAAGTCATCAAGGAACGTCTGCTACATCACGACTTTATTGAACGTGTCAAACCACTCCGCTCGGATCTAAAACTGGTCAACAGTATGGCCGGGCTTTGGAAAGACGAAACAAGGAGACGCAAGCTCCGAATGACAAATGCTCAGCCAGGCAGTAGCCCCTTTCCAGCTGAAGTCCTCGTATCCATGTCGGCAAATGTTCGACAGACAGGACTTCCAGGCTGGATACACGAGGAGGAGTACCGAGAGGACCTAGAAAGACTGATCGATGCAGAAAGAGACCAAGACGATCAAAGCCAGCCCGGCTTTGATACCTTTGTCGAAAAGCATCCTTTGGCAAACTTGGTCAAGACTGCTTTGCAGTCAGTCGAAGATTTATTTCCAGCGAATCTGATGCCTGCGCTTGGTTTGGCGACAGAGATCATCGCCCCCGATGAGGATCCAGCCAGCAGCATTGATGTTGACGAGCAAAAGATTATCGACAAGGACTTGCTCGATGCGAACGACTTCCCGAACGACTCTGACGAGGACTGGCTTCGTAATATCAACTTTTCAACTGATGCCGCGAAGGGGGGTTCGACAACACTTGTTAACGAGGTTGCGCCAAGTCTCAATACTCACAGGAAACCCAGGGAAGGGCCAAGTGCCAGGCAACGAGGTTTTTTGCGGGAGACGACACCCGTAACAGGGCCGTTCAAGGGCGTCTGCATCAGTCGGCTGACAACTGGCATCCCGCACGTCGTCCCTATCCCAACAGAGCTGCTTGCGATTGCGGAAGCCGACAACATGGTCAGCAAACGGCATAGAGCACGGAACTCTAGCAGCCAGTTCAACAGGTCTGTAAAACGACGAGCCTCTGCTGTGTTGGGAAACGAATCGAAGCGTCCGAACCCCGGTCATACCCTATCCCAGCACAACACAGCTGCAAGAAAACAAGAGGACAAGCTTAAGGTTCTGCCGAATGTTGCTTCCGTCCCCGAAACAAAGCTGCCGAGCAAGTGGTTGTCACCCACATTCATGAGTTCGAGTGGACCCAATGGTCGACAGATATTACCGCCGGGGCGAGCCAGCCATGCACTGGGTTTCCCGGTTGTCAAGAGCCAAGACGACCCAAATACAAAGTTGCGTCTCAGTCAGATCGACAAAGACAACTTCTCATCTTCAGACTCGCCAGAAAAACACGTGTCGTTCAATACAGCTGTTATGTTAACAGGAGGGAACGGATCAACAATCCCGTTGGCTGGAATGACCGAAGTTGGGAAAATTGCACAGGAGGCTTCGAGCTCGTCAAACACATCGTCCTGTGCTTTAAATGCACTGCAGGCCGTTGCTGACGGAAAGGTCATTCTTCTCATTGGGTCTTTGCCGCCCTCGAAGGTGGATGTTACCACAAGTCTCGGCGATGACCACACACCGGACGTTATTTATCAAGATGCGTACTACAGCAATGAGTCGGATGTCCCTCTGAAACCTCGAGAGTATGCTGGCAAAGAATTTCGTCTGGAGAGCAACACTCTACCTTACCTTCCGGATTTTGATCCTACACGTGTCTTGCAAGATGGCGGCCGGTATGAGGAAACGGACAACCCAGCGTTTGATGAAGCTCTCGGCGATGAGCAACGCGCAATGTGCTCGTTTAGAGGCTGGGAAATCGCCCAGCCTCCTCCCAGTTACAGAGAGGTGAAGAAATGGTGGGAGACCAAGCAGACAAAACGGAAGTCAAAGTCAGATGCCGCGCTCAAGTCATTACAGAGCCCCAAAGTGAACCATCATTATTCTCAGATTGATGGGCCTACACCACGAAACACTCACGGATTCAGGTATAACCAGAAGAAGAAGTCCAGTGGCATCAAGCACGAGATCCAGTATATGAGTACGATGAGCTTGGAGGTGCATGTCAACACGAGGGGTCATCTTGTGCCTGATCCGGAGCACGATGAGGTCCAGTGCATTTTCTGGTCAATAAAAGCTGATGGTTCGATAAGCGTCAGTCAGGAAGCCGCCGGGGCCATGATCCAAGGCATAGTCTTGCTTTCCTCTGATGGGAGCTTGGCGGAGAGGGTACGACGGCAAACATCTGTCGAGGTGGTCGAGGAGATGGAAGAATTAGACCTCTTTGTGCGGATGGTGGAGATTGTGCGAACTCATGATCCCGACATCCTGACAGGATACGAAGTTCACGGAAGCTCTTGGGGCTACCTCATCGAACGAGCCCGCGTCAAGTACGACTACGATCTCTGTGACGAATTCTCTCGCATGAAAAGCAACTCACACGGGAGAATTGGCAAAGAAAACGATCGCTGGGGCTTCAATACTACGTCGACCATTCGCGTTACTGGCAGACACATGATCAATGTTTGGAGAGCCATGCGCGGGGAGCTGAACCTGCTGCAGTACAGCATGGAGAACGTCGTATGGCATCTATTGCACCGGCGTATACCTCACTATTCGTGGAGCACTCTCACGAAGTGGTACAAGAGCGGCATACATCGCGACATGAGCAAGCTGCTGCGTTACTATCTGAGCCGTACACGGTTGGACATCGACATCATTGAGGCGAATGAGCTGATTCCGCGTACCAGCGAACAAGCTCGGCTGCTCGGCGTGGACTTTTTCTCAGTCTTCTCTCGCGGCTCTCAGTACAAGGTTGAGTCCATCATGTTTCGTATTGCGAAGCCCGAGAACTTCATCCTTGTCTCTCCGAGCAGGCAGCAAGTGGGCGGTCAGAACGCGCTGGAGTGCTTGCCGCTAGTTATGGAGCCGCAAAGCGCCTTCTACAGCAGCCCAGTGCTCGTCCTGGACTTTCAGAGTCTGTATCCAAGTGTTATGATTGCATATAACCTGTGCTACTCCACGTTTCTTGGTCGTATCACCAGCTGGAGGGGTATGAACAAGATGGGATTCACTGAGTACAAAAGACATCAACGACTCCTCGAGTTGCTGAAAGACCACATCAACATTACGCCCAATGGCATGATGTACGCGAAGCCTGAGATCCGCAAGTCTTTGCTAGCTAAGATGCTTGGCGAGATCCTCGAAACTCGAGTGATGGTCAAGAGCGGGATGAAGCAGGATAAGGACGACAGGTCGTTGCAGCAGCTCCTCAACAACAGACAGCTGGCCCTCAAACTGTTGGCAAACGTCACATACGGCTACACCTCGGCCTCCTTTTCCGGACGCATGCCCTGCTCAGAGATTGCGGACAGCATCGTACAGACTGGACGAGAGACCCTTGAAAGAGCGATAGCCTTCATCCACTCACAAGAGCGGTGGAACGCTGAGGTGGTGTATGGCGACACAGACAGCTTGTTCATCCACCTTAGGGGCAGCACAAAAGATCAGGCTTTCGACATTGGCAACGAGATTGCCAAGGAGATTACCGACATGAACCCGAGGCCCATCAAACTCAAGTTCGAGAAGGTTTACCACCCGTGCGTCCTTCTCGCCAAGAAGCGTTACGTCGGCTACAAATACGAGAGCAAGAGCCAGGTCAAGCCCGACTTCGACGCCAAAGGCATCGAAACGGTGAGACGGGACGGCACCCCGGCCGAGCAGAAGATTGAAGAGAAGGCCCTGAAGCTCCTTTTCGAGACAGCCGACCTGAGCCAGGTCAAGGCATACTTTCAGGCGCAATGCGAAAAGATCATGCGCGGCACCGTCTCCATTCAGGACTTTTGCTTCGCCAAGGAAGTCAAGCTCGGCTCCTACAGCGACAAGGGCCCGCCGCCGCCGGGCGCCATGATCAGCACGAAGCGCATGCTCGAAGACGCCCGCGCAGAGCCGCAGTACGGCGAGCGTGTGCCCTACGTCGTGGTCACGGGGGCGCCGGGCGCACGGCTGATCGACCGCTGCGTCGCCCCCGAAACGCTCCTGCGCGACTCGCAGTCACAGCTGGACGCCGAGTACTACATATCGAAGAATCTTATCCCGCCGCTCGAGCGCATCTTCAACCTCGTGGGCGCCAACGTTCGCCAGTGGTACGACGACATGCCCAAGGTGCAGCGCGTGCGCCGCCTCGAGCAGCGAACGGGCGCAGCAACGCGCCTGGGTCAGGGCCTAGGGCAAGGCCAGGGCCAAGGGATCAGCCGGAAAACTCTCGAGAGCTACATGAAGTCGGCCTCGTGCATCGTCTGCGACGTCAAGATGGAGGTCGAGGGCACGCTCGGCGATCGGGCCGCGTCTACGGCGTCCCGCCGAAGCATCCTCTACGAGACTCGTCTCTGGCCTAGGAGAGGAGGGAAGTCCTCCCGTGGGACGTGGGCCCTAGCGCGCAGCCGTCTCCGCAGTAATCCGAGAACTCGCAGCGGGGGGTAGGGCCTGAATATTTATAAAATTATGTTAAGGGAGTGGGGGTGGGAGGGGGGGGGCCCTTT